CCTAATTAATTATTTAGATTTAATTTTGGGTTTTTTTTTAAAATATCATATTTAAACAATGGATATTGTGAACTTATAGTATCAAATAAAATGTTATCTTAATACTTTTATAACTTTTCTTCTATTGTTTACTTCATTAAAATACTGCGTTGATATCAAAATTTGATGATCGAAGTTCTCTATGAAGTTATATATAATTGAATTCAAAGCTAGTTTTATATATATTAGAAAAAAATAGAATTAGTAAAACACTTGTATGGTCATAGATGTAAAATTATTTATTTGTTTGTTAATGAAATAGTTAAATAATAATTATTGTACGTTGTTTTGAGCATTTAACATTTTATAATAAATTCCACCTTTTTGTATTAGTTCTGTATGAGTACCACTTTCGACTATAAGACCCATTTCAAGTACATGTATTAAATCACATGAACGTATTGTTGAAAGACGATGTGCAATAATAATTGATGTTCGACTAGAATCTTCTGTTTGAGCTTGATCAAGAGTTTCTTGTATTATCTGTAAATTAAAAATGTTAAGTTGTAACTATAAAAGAAAATAGACTAACTTGTTCATTATATGGATCCATAGCACTTGTGGCTTCATCTAATAATAATATTTTAGGTCGACGAATAAGAACTCGAGCAATAGCAATACGTTGTTTTTCACCACCTGATAAAAAACTACCTTTTACTCCAACTTTTGTTTCATAACCCTACAACAATATATATTAAATAAAATCAATATAATTTAATATTAATCTAACTTGAGGTAATTGTTGAATAAATTCATGAATATTAGCTTTAGTTGCAGCAAGAATAATCTCATCCATTGGTATATTTTCTAATCCATATGTTATATTTTCAGCCATTGTTAAATCAAATAAAACTGGTTCTTGACTAACAACACCCAAACGAGAACGAAGCCATTGAATATTTAATTTTTTAATATCAACACCATCAAGAGTCTTATTTATATTATTATCGTTTATATAAGTACTTGAAATATATAAAGAAAACAGATACTTACCAATTCTCCATGTGTAACATCATAAAATCGTTCTAATAATTGAACAATGGTTGATTTTCCACATCCAGATGCACCTAAATCGATTATATTATATGATTAATGAACTGGAAAAAATATTTTATTCAAACATACCAACAAGAGCTATACGTTGACCTGATTTAATAGATAATTGAAGTTTATTAAGAACAAGAACTGTTGGACGACTTGGATAAACAAATTTAACTTGATTAAAGTCTGTTTCTCCATTAAAGTTAGTCTAAATAAATCAAGATTAAAATATAGAATTGGAAGACAATAGTTATTTTTCTTTTACTAATTCTTGGCCTTTATTCGATCCATTATCAATAGTTGGTATTCGATCAAATAGATTAAAAAATGCGTGAGCAGCAGTAAATGATTGACCAATGCGTTCTGCTCTAAAATGATAAATAATAAAATCAAAAACAAAAACAAAACATAAATTATATATCTTACAACATTCCAACAATTTTTAGTACTTCTAATGCGAACATTCCAAAAGCAGATATCCTATAAAAATAAAAAAGACAACAAAATTTAATTTATAAATTATCACAATTATTGTTTTAGTTACATAACAACATCGCTCATGTCTATTTCATTTTTTTCAACAAGAATCAAAGCTCGCCAATACAAAAGCCCCAAAGTGAATGAACTCATTGCCCAACTCAATGCAAATACTGTTGCAAGCAGTGCTTCAGGTCTCCAAGACATTCTAAACAAAATATGATTTATTGAAGATTGACGATAATATCTGTAAAAAAAAGAGTTATATTCGATACTATTAGTCCATTATCAATATAGAAGAACATATTTTTGACAAAACTATACAAGATTATTAAAAGCACCCAGAATTTTGTTTATCACGTTACATGTATTTAGATTTTAATTAGTTCGTTTTTACGATTTTTCATTACTATGCAAAAAAGCTATTTTTCAAAATATAGTTATAAATTCTCATAGAATTTAAAGTTCTCAATCACTTTTCATTTTCTTTTCAAATTTTTCTTTCATGCACTATTAAATCAAACTATTACTAATTTTTCATAAAGAACTTCTTGCATAGTAATGAAAAATCTTACAAAGTAACTAAGAAAACGACGACAAAATACACTGTAGAGAATCTATCTATAAGGAATACTTCATTGCAGCTAATTAATTTTCTAACTAATGATTCCAAGTTACAATCTAAATACATATAACGATAGAAAAACTCGAATCACTTTGAATAACTTAGATTTATTTCTTGTATGATGTTAATTTACTTAAACAATTAGTTATAGCTTATTTTTTCAAATACATATATATACATGTATAATATTCATAAGACTAACATTAATACTTGATCCATCATATTCGTATATTGGCGTGTAACTTCATTTTCTATTAATAACTGTTTTACTGTGCGCATATTGGTAATAACTTCAACAGCAAGCTAAAAAAGACAAAACATAGAATGAATATTTAATAATCATTTCATCAAATAATATATAATAACATAATTATATTATACATTAAAAGATTATGAATAGCAATATGGTTTTACCGTACTAGCTTGAGAGTAAATGAGATCAGATTGTATTTTTAACCATGAACTCAACCGTATTTGAATAATAGTGACGATCAGTATGATAAGGAAAGGAATAGCTATGATTACTGTTAGTTCCCAGTTGTAATAAAGGCCAAGTAAGAAGCCAAAAACAGACATGGATAAAGTTTGACAAATAACACCTAATCTTGAACCAGCCATGTCTTCAATGGCAGCTGCATTAGAAGAGAGTTGATTACATATAGCACCACAACTGTTTTCAGGTCGATCAAAATAAGCTACTTCTTGACGAAGAAAACATGCGAAAGCTTTTGAACGAAGGCGACTAACTAATTTTGCTCCTGCTACTCCAAAAGTCACAAACTATAAACGAACATGAAAAAACTCATTGATGTAGTTTAGTAATAAACTTGTTACTTGAAAAAAATTAAGAATCATAAAAATAACGCCGGTAAGAATAAATAAACCACATGTAATCAACACTCGACGACGTACATCAGTGTATTTACAATCATTAAATTCCTAAAATAAAAGAAAAATTCGACCGAAGAAAACACATCTTTTATCTTTTCTTAGAATATTCATATGAATAAAATTACTTACATTAATTGTTGTTGCGAATAGAATCGAGAACGCTGGTCCACGTAATCCACCAAGTAAACATGCTAAACAACCAATCAAGATAAACATCCATTCAGGACTATTCATTTTCATGAGTCTTAGAAAGATAGATTTTTCTCTTGCTGGTATAGAAGCTCTCTAAAAATTTATACATTAATAATGACTTTTTAAAGTTATTAGATATTCATTTTTACTCCATTTGTATCAATTGCTTCGCTCTCACTCAATCGAAGAACACGTTCCACTATTCCAAAAAACAAAACAGAATAAAATCAAGTTCGTAAAATATAATAATCATTAATATTAAAATAGTAACATACATAATTGTTCTTCATCTTCAGCTGCTGCTTTTGCCATATTCATTAGGCCATCATGTGTACCAATCGTTTTTTCAGATTGTTGCATTTTGATCATTGTTTGATATTTACCTCCTTCGTTTGCCAATAATGTTTTATGTGTACCTTCTTCAATCACACTTCCTTTATCTAATACATAAATGTAATCAGCATTTTGAATTGTAGTCAAACGATGAGCAATAACTATAGTTGTACGATCTATATATATATATATATATATCTATGATAATAATATAATCAATAATAATTAAATAATTCTTACTTTTGCATGCTCGATCAAGTGCTTCTTGAACAATTCTTTCACTAACATTATCAAGTGCACTTGTTGCTTCATCTAATAAAAGAATGGTGGGTTGTTTGACAAGTGCACGAGCTAATGCAATACGTTGTTTTTCACCACCACTCAATTGTATTCCACGTTCACCAACAAGTGTTTCATATTTCTAGAAATATAAATAATAATACATATAGATAAAAAGAAATAATTAAAAAGCAAACATTTGGTAATTTCATAATGAATTTATGTGCATTAGCTTGTTCTGCTGCATGTTCAATCTCTGCACGTGTTGCATTCAATTTACCAAAACGAATATTTTCATAAATACTTATTCCAAATAGAATCTATTTCAATATATAAAAAGTCGACAGAGACTAAAAAAGAAAAGAAAATAAACCTACAGGTTCTTGACCAACAACTCCAATATTTTGACGAAATTGTTTGATTTTATGATTTGTAATTGATTGACCATCAATCATAATTCTCCCTGAAGAAGGTTCATAATAGCGAAGAAGAAGTGATACACATGTACTTTTTCCTATCAATCAATTTCAATATTCAAATATTATGTTTGTTTGAGAAAAAAAAGATTTACCACAACCACTTGAACCTACAAGAGCAGTTGTTTGATTAGCACGAGCAATCAATTTAAGATTATTCAAAGCTATTGCATTTTCTCTAGATAGATAGGAAAAACTAACATTGTCAAATTCAATATCACCATTGATATTAGAAATAGATTTTTGATCAGATATGTTCTCTTGCAATATTTCTCTTTCATTGATATTTTCATCATGTGCCTATATCATAAAATAAAATAGAAAATATAATTACCAAGATTTAGTTTCTAGTATATTCAATGTAGTTTACCTCATCTATAAGTCGAAATACGGATACTGCTGCACCTTGAGCTTCCGAAACTGATTGGAAGAAAGGTCCAAAGAAACTAAGATAACTTAAAGCCTGTGCAAATATATTCACAACCTAAACGAAAGTTCGCTTTTCAGCTATTTTCTTGTGCAAATTGATATTATAGCTCACTTACAACAAGAATCTCACTAATGGTCAGTGTATGATGATTTCCATAAGACATAAGAATCGAACCAAAAGTGAAACCAATTGAATAAACTACAAAGCTTACAAAAAATAACCAACCAGTAAAAGCACCAAATGCAGCATCTTTGCGAATAGTATACCATTCATTTAGTTTTAATTCTTTCTCATATCTAGATGCAATAAATATGACAGTAAAATAATGTACAATAACCTATATATCTTTGTTTATTTATTTACTGTTTTTGTTGCGATTTGCTTCCATTGAATGAAAGAACAGTTCTTAATGAACTAAATACTTCTTGAGCGATTTGTCCAGCTTTTGAATATGTACTTAATTGTTCTTTTGTTTCTTTAGTGATGACCTGTAATTATTGATAAAATTTTAGCAAATTAAATAATAATTTATACCTTAGCAAACATCAATGAACTAACAACAATAATTGGAATTATACAAGACATGATTAAAGATAATTGCCAATTGATAATAAAACATATGATTATACTGAAAATCATGATATTAATAAGTGCAATTGCTACTAGGAATTCAAAACCTATCCCTTTTTTGATCTTTTCAATATTACTGTTAAGGAAAATTAATTATAGATAATTGTTTGTTATAAAATTATTATATTTACTTACATAAAAAGCTTCGTATTGTATTGAGTAGTTTGGTTTGTATCCAAGTAAGTCATGTTCTAAAAAATGAGAGAGAAATAATACATTATTTTATCTTAGATCTTAATTTAATTGATACATTAACGTTGTTGTCAGAATTATCAGTTTGTTGATTAGAGAAATATTTTGAAAAAAGAAAATCAGAAATCGAGACCACAATGCTCTACTTAGTTTTGATATATGTTTGACACGTAGCAAGAGAAATGAATAGAATAAATTGTATGTTAACTAGTTTCATCGTTTACAATCATTTATTTTAGTTATTCTTCAATGATTAAGCGTCTTTGAAGAAATACAAACATTTATAATGCAGCTCTACACTGAGTTTAAGTCATCTAGTAGACATTCGATATTATTCAATTTCGACTTATGACCACGAATTATCAAGTTTTTTTTTATGAATGTAAAAAATGTTTTTACTTACACGTTGAATAAGTGATTGAAAGAGTAAAACACTCATACGAGATACCTGCCGTCGCGTAGCAATTGTCCAACAGATATATTTAATAAAAGCACTTAGAAATGTAAAAATGCTGACACCTAGAATGATATAGAGAAACAACAAATCGTTTGTTTTTTTTTAATTTAAATCATCATATTCAATAGACTTACCGAAGAACCAATAAATTAGATGCATAACATTTTCACGAAATAAAGGTGTTAATGGAGCCAATGTAGATGACATGGTTCTATTATTATAATGGCATAGCCTACAAATAAAAAATTTCAAAAGATTTAGATTAAGAATATTTAAAAATACTGTTTTTCAGTAAATTACTTATGTAATCGATCATAATTTAATGGATTGAGATCAATACCAAAAGGACATATAGTATTATTGATAATTCCAGATTCTAAATTTTGATATTGATTATCACAATCAACAGCAAATGATGTAGTGGCAAATAATCCCGTGATTCGACCAAAAAGAATTATATTCGCGAGAACACTAACTGCATGCACCAGCATGAAACACAGACCAAGAATTAAAAGAAGAATATCAATACGATCAGCAAATCGAAACTATGATTAAATGAAATGAATCAATTCATATATAAATATTATTAAAGAGAAAAACAACATGATTTCAACTTAGTATTTTTACTGTTTTATCTTATGATATTTTATGTTTAATTATACTTACCAATTGAAAAAGACTGACTTGAATATCTTCATTAGTCTGTTTGTTCTCATCATCTAACTTTTTATTTCTAGCATCAGTCTTTTGTCGATTGAAATATTGACGCCACTCAGAAAAACTATAAATATTAATAAATTCATTATGTGTTCATCCATATGATATATTTTTTAAATCATACCTTTTGTTTTCATTGTCGCTGTCATTGTCAATAGGTAATTTGTTATATGTCGTTAATAGTGGCTCTTTATCATTCATGTTTGTCTTTCTCTTTTCAAATATACACTATTATGAAATTTAATATCTATATAGTTTTATATATATTACTATGAGGAGCGATTCTGTACTTTTTGCTTCATTGAGTTTGTGTCCTTTCTCTATCTTATGTTCTCTTTCATCTTGTCAAATAACGTAGGCAGCACTGTGTTAAAGGCAAAATTTTCAGATATTTTTTTTTCTCATACATGTAAATATAATTAATATTGTCGTCTTACCTGTCACGTAGGAGTAATATAGTATCGTTAAAGACTTAGAGACAGTAATTTTAATAATTGGTATAAAGGAAAAAAACTAAAAATATAATATGTAAACAGTCGTTCAAATCTTATTCGAAATCATTTCTAAATAAAAAGAAATTGTCGATTGCTTTCAATCTCTAGACATTCATGAAGGTTTAAGTTCGAGTTTTATTAATGGTAAACAAACGATAAAATAAATTCAAAAGATATAAAAAGTGAAAATCATCAATTTTGTTCTACAATAAAATTCATATATATAGATTTCTAAGAGATGCAATTTTATTTTAAGATTATCATTCATTTTCAAATAGTTACATAATACCAACGATATTTTCTATGCGACTAGATATAATATTTATTAATAATATGATTTTTATTTACAAATCAATATTATACATAAATAATTGTTTCAACCTTCATTATAATATCGAGTTACGAATATATTTCTTAAACAAAAACTAAAATTTATACTATCATTCATATTAAAGAAATGCAATTATAGATTGGTTATAATTCATGAATCTTTAAAATAATAAATTTCTTAAACACATTACAAGAAAAATATTATATTAGATATTTTTAAATAAGTGAGTGCATGGAATCTTATTGTTTGAAAAGAATTAGAAAAGAATAATAGAAAAATAATGATCTCATATTTGTCTGACAATTGATTTAATTCTGTTCCTTTTGTTTGTACCAAGAAACTAATTGCATTTAGATAACAAAAATAAAGTGAATGACTGATTTCTTTTAATTTTTCTATTAAAATCGAATAGGAAAGTTAAATGAAAAACATCGATTAAAAATCGATTATTGTGTGACTAATTTGCAAAATTTTCTTTGCGGAAGAAAAACACACAAAACAATAACATAAAATTTTTCAATCCATATTTTCATTCATTCGTAGAAATTTGAAAGAACTCGAAAGAAATACCTATTGAAGTATATGCATATGTCTATATATAAATTATTTTTATTTTTTCTTCATATATATATGACTCGAGGGTGAATTGAAACAACTTTCCTTATTAACTATTTTAGTTGTAAATGTTATGAACTGCTCATTGATATAATCATATTTAATACTCTACAACCATTTAAGAAATGTGATAGAGAATCTTTGATTTATTCTCAATTTGTTTGATATATGAAAAATGATATTTATTTTCTCAAACGCTATGATATATTTTTTCTTTATTTGCTGATGAATTAATAACTATATATTATTGAACTTGAGAAGAATATGTCAATTGAAACGTTATTTATTTCGACTAGAATAAATAAGATATTCAATCTATTAAGAATAATCTTCAGCAACAAAATTAATAAAATTAAACTTTTGAATAGAAGTATCAGATAAAAAGAATATTTTTCATGTATTCATACTGGCTTTTATTTTAGTTCCTTAGTTAATTGAAAAAGAAATCGACGACTAATCCCAAGAATTAGGACGAATATGAATAAATTGTGATTGTGAATGAAGTTCTAGACAACAAGATAACCAAAAGAGTGCAATGGATGATCTTGCGGTTTCTTCGTGATAAGTTTAAATGATTTCGCTCTCCGTCGTGGCAAACATTCATTAATATAAATATCAAGATTAATCTTTCTTTTTAATTCTATCGTTTATTTTGTTGTATGATACTCTGTATTAAAAATATATAATTCTTGACAAGTGACATATGAAGTGATCTGAATGAAATATAGAATATTTATCTCTAAACTTGATGATCTTTTATATTTATAAATCACTATATTATATTAAGTAAGTAGATATAATTCAAATTCGTCATCTTCTCAACAATAAGTAAAAATCCAAAAACTATGCAACATTCTAATTTGAAATTAGTTTTTAGATTTTATTTGACCTAATCTACATTTACTTTGGCTTCGATTCATGGAGCTACCTTTATTTTTTAAATAAATCTTTGTCATTTAATGATATTAATATGAATTTTTTCTTAAACTGTTTTTGTTTCTATCGCTTTATTCATAAAAATTCTTTTTATATTCAATTATCAATAATAAGCTTTGACTTGTCAATCTTTAAAACAATCGATTAGAATGATACCTACATAGAAATTTCTCATATAAAATGGTTATAATATTTTAATTGCGCCAAATAGATACAACAGTTTGATTTTAATACTACTTATTGTTACCCAATCGAGCAGTTCTTTTTGAGAAATAATAAAACATCAAATTACTTTCGTTTTCTACTATAAAGAAATTAATATTTATTGAGAAATATTCTTCGTCTTAATATAAATAGTATTGATAAACAAAACTAATCTTTATTTTATTCTTTTCGTTCTCTTGCCTTTGTCTTCTTATATGTAATATATGACATTGTGTGATATGAACACAAATGGATAATAGAGTAATATACCGAGGATAGTGATGACACTACCCCATTCGTTCATCATTGTAATTACAATAAAATAAATATTCGAACAAGAACAAAGTAATTTATAGATAAGAGTTTTTCATAAAAAGAGAACAAGTTAATGTAAAGCATATAAAATTATTTTTGTTGAAATTTTCCATAAAAAAGTTTTCTATAGAGAAAAAGCTTTTCATTAGTATATATTACCTTGATAAAGAAAAAAATCACATGAAATTTATCTATAGTTATGTGTGTTCGTTCGTATTTATACCACTATATAATATAATCTATAATTTGTATATTTTTTCTTTTTCACCTATATATTAACCAACAGATAGAATAATTGTTTGTCTGTTGATTGATTCAAGTATATGAAAAACCAGTAGAATCTCACTCCATGTAAAAAAAGTTGTGAAAATCATGATTTTTATGAGAAATCTGATGAGAAATCGATTTAAATGGCACGATTTTCATAGCTTAGTAATCGATTAAATTGAAAAAATCACTTAAAATCGATTAAGTTGTTATATAAAATCGATTAAAATCAATTATTTTTTTACGAAAAATTAAATATCATTGGATTTTAATCGATTATTTACAACTTAATCGATTTTAACCGATTTTATACAACAGTTTAATCGATTTTAATTAATTTTTTCAATTTAATCGATTACTAAGCTATGAAAATCGTGCCATTTAAATCGGTTTCTAATCAGATTTCTCATAAAAATCATGATTTTCACAAAATTTTTTACATGGGCATATAACATTTTGGATTGAATAATATTTGAATATAAGAACAATGTGGAGATAGATTAGATAATCTTTCAATTAAATATATATTTGTTTAATTTCTACATTATTCAACGAGATATAATATAATAAACTAATTGTAAAGTATACTTATTTCTCGATTATTCTATTTTATTTTACTTCAAAGTAAGAGTAAAACTTTTAAACTATCTATAAACTTATTATCAACACAAAATAACGTGATTTTATTCTTTTCTTTTCGTTCTGTTTCAACTATTGCTAAGCATTTCAATGTAAGAAAAAAAATCCAATCTAATCGTAATATTTATTCATGCTTGAATGAAAAGAGAAAAGAAAAAAAAAGATATTTGTTGATATTTTTCATCTTTTTTTCATATTTTGTGTTGTTCATAACTTTAATTATAGATTGAAAGTTTCATTATTACTTTCAAATAAAACGAAATCATATTTTCGAATTATTGATATTCTCAACAACAATTAGATATCGACGATAATAATAATTATTTGAAAAGCTCTAAAATATTTCTGTGCGATATAGAAATTCATTTTATTTCTTTTTCTTTAGTCTTTAATATATTTTTGTACCATCAGAACATTTAAATTTTTTATGTTACAATTGATTTTTGCTTTTCTTTGCATTGTATTTATATATTTCCTTATTTAAATGATTTGGAAAGTATTTAACGAATACAATCCGACTGATTTATATGAGAAAAATATTAAAATTAGATGAATATTTCGTAGAAGAGTTTCTACGACTTAATAATGTTGAAAATCTATTCTTTTTTTTCTTTGAATATAAACTTAATATTAATTATTTAATTATCTTTGTTAAACTTGTTTGATAATTGTACCAATGATCGTCCTCTTCATATCATTTCTTTCTCATTTGATATTTTTTGTCTTTATTATTTTGTTCTTATTTCATACTCAACAACACATTTAATTCAATTATTATAAAATGAAATATTATTAGGAAAAAACGTTCGAAATATATTCAAAAGAAAAATATGAACGATTAGATGAGATAGAAAAGTAATTATTAAGATAGATTAATATACATATATATGTAATTAAATATGAAATTGGAGAAGTACAAGTAAATGAAGAATATTATTTTAGTAATTGAGTGAATTCATATTTATTTATTAAACATTTGACAGTCAAATGGTATAATATCGAAGAATTCTTATCTGCTAGTATAAATAATTTGATTTAATCATCAATGAATATTTTTTCTAGATTTTTCATAAAAATTTGTTACTAATGCGTTTCCAAGATACATAAAAATAAAATACAAGTCAATCAGTAAATGGTGAAATAATTAAATCAAAAGAATTGAGTAGTTAGTCGAATAAAAATTTCTTTATCGATTTTTCTCGAATTTATTTGTTTGTAGCCTTGGAATATTATGATTTGAGACGTGTTATATATACAAATGGAGATTTTTTATCATAGATTAATGTGAAAGCAAGAAGCACTTGGTCATTTAAATAAAGAAATTAATAAGACATCTATAAATAAAGTTCATATTTTAGATCATCTTGCTTATATAACATCACAAGTAAAAAAAAAGATTTTTTTTCTCTTTATTTTTTATTAAATTTGATATTTTTTAGTAAGAAAATATTTAACATACTTTAGCAGTAACTGTAGAATTCCCTACAACTGGTAAATAGTATTTAATTTCTTTTTACTAAAAATAAAACTTATTTGAATTTTTCTATCTCCGGATTATGTTCGTACAAATAATTATACAATTTATTAGAAAATTTTTATAAAAAATCGAACATTAACTAAACAAGAACGCAAAAATGATATGAATACGAATAATAAACAAAATTTAAAATTACTTTCAACAGTTTCACAAATGAAAAATTCTAAAATAAATAATGCAAGACTAGATGGTTATTTTCAAGAACGTGAAGTATATGAAAAACTTTGTCGACAGAATGGAACACAATTAATGGCTATTTCCATGGTACTTGTGACACGAAATACACAACATTCACCAAATCGTTTGAAACTTTCAGAGCTTGTGTAATAAACAATTCTAAGACTTTTTCATGCTTGGACAAAAGTTATAGGACGTCTTGTTGAAGCGCTGTAGCCCAAATACCAAAATTCTCCGGAACCGTTTTTTAAGGTACTTTATTCTTTATAACTGACATAGTTTTGCACTACTTTATGCTATCGAAATTCTGGCAATAGATTCGGATTCCTCTTGATCAGAGCTATCAGAACCACTATTTTTTGAAAGTTTTTGGGACCGTGGTTCTCTGAAAACCCTTTTTTGAAGCCCAGTTTTCTAGGCCCTAAAACTCCATTAATAGAGAACTCTGGACTTCGTGAAATACCTCATTTGATAGAGAATCAAAAGATCTATCGAAATATATGTCTCCCGTCGGGGGGGAGTAAGATTTGCCCGAAGTCGGATTTTCAGATATTTTTGACTGAATTTAACCAAAAACTCATGTTAGTTCTTTTAGAAATCCGACTTCGGGCAAAACTTACTCCCCCCCCCGACGGGAGACATATATTTCGATAGATCTTTTGATTCTCTATCAAATGAGGTATTTCACGAAGTCCAGAGTTCTCTATTAATGGAGTTTTAGGGCCTAGAAAACTGGGCTTCAAAAAAGGGTTTTCAGAGAACCACGGTCCCAAAAACTTTCAAAAAATAGTGGTTCTGATAGCTCTGATCAAGAGGAATCCGAATCTATTGCCAGAATTTCGATAGCATAAAGTAGTGCAAAACTATGTCAGTTATAAAGAATAAAGTACCTTAAAAAACGGTTCCGGAGAATTTTGGTATTTGGGCTACAGCGCTTCAACAAGACGTCCTATAACTTTTGTCCAAGCATGAAAAAGTCTTAGAATTGTTTATTACACAAGCTCTGAAAGTTTCAAACGATTTGGTGAATGTTGTGTTTTTTTGTCACAAGTACCACGGAAGTAGCCTAATATATTTCGAAATAGTCTTTATAGAATTTTACTTTATCTAGTTAAATCAAAAACGTCAAGCAAATTATTTTGTTGTTATCGTCATAATAATCATCATCATCCATCTCTTATTTTACATCGTATTAAAGAAGAACAATTATTAGATTAACCAACTCTTTTTCTTTTTCACGATGTTGTTAGTAATTGAGATGTTGAAAAAATCAAATGACTTGCTTTATCAAGAGTATGTAATATATACATAGAAATAAGAAACATTAGAAAATCTACTAGAAATCAAATTCTCACTCTTTACTGTTACAACGTGCTATCGCTCACGATTTTGTGATCGATAATTTTAAATCAGCTGATTATAGAATGAGTAAGAGATACTGAAAATAAAACATCTATTTATTATTCGAATGATTTTATTTGTTGTTGAATATATAATAGAATCTTGTTTCTATTTTGTAAAATGAAAGATTGAAAGAGATATTTGAGAATTTTATAGAAATTATCAAAGTAAACAAAAATATGATTGTAATGTTTTTCTCAAAAACAATCGTTCACTGTGAATAATGTTGGTTTTAAATAAATAAAATAGAATATCATTTCCTAAATTATTCATATTTGAATTTAATTCTTTATTATATTTGTTAAATGCAGATTATATATACAAAACTTCAATGAATACGAAGGATTTATGAAAAAAACATTTCGTGAAAAAATATCAATGAGAAGAATATAGCTACAAACTAGTATTAGTTGATTCAATCAATCTTTAAACATTTTTCAAGGTTTAAAACATAAATATCATAGACAAAATTGTTTTGATCAAACCTAGAGTCTATCAGACTAAATTATGTATATTCCATATGATGTTAAAAATAATTTTTCATTATTATCTGATGAATATTTAATCTAAGATAATTATTTATAAGTATGGTTGCAGTTAAGCAGAGTGGTAATACAAAATCCTAAAGCATCAAAAGATGAACATGACAGTTATAGGGTCAGCAAAAGATACGAACTAAGAAAAAACAAATATAATTTTTATACTTAATCTCAATGCATGTCAAACAAATACTGTTTTTGTTCCTCAAATTTCGAAGCTTTTCATGATTATTAACTGATCATAGTTATATTTATTATTTTGTATGTTATGTTTTTACCTGGAAATATAGATTTAGTTTGAAGCTTAATTTTTATTTTATTTTTAGTGGTTGGTTGAGAAATGAAGATACATCAGTCATTTCTCGTTTATCTCGATTAATTGAAGGTGTAACAAACATGAGTATGATAACAGCTGAAGATCTTCAGATATGTGAATAATTAGAGAATACAAGAATAGAATAAAGAATAAAATAATTTGATTGGAAATTATGGTGTTGGTGATCATTATGACTCATATTTTGATTTTGTACGAGTAAGTTATGAATATTTATTTGTCAAATTTAGAAATGAGAGAAAGATGCCTTTTCAGGTCTTGGTGTAGGTGAGTTGAAATTCTCTATGAGAAATTATATTATAATTTTTATTTTCTAGGAAATCGTATTGCTACATGGTTAACTTATGTAAGTTAATTGGATATTATTAGAAATTTGTTATACTAATATATAAAATGTTCCTAGTTGAGTGATGTTGAACAAGGTAATGCAACCGTTTTTCCTGTAGTTGACGATCATTTAAAATAAAAAAAAAAGAAGTGCTGCATTTTGGTGTAATGTTTATGCATCGAGTGAAGGTTAAATAATCAGTTAGCTTTATTTTTTTTTCTGGTGTATCTAAGAAATAATTTTTATCTTTTCAGAAGATTACAATACTCGCCATGCAGGCATTTTTTAAATTTTATTAAATGGATTGATGAACGTGGTGAAGAATTTCGTCGTCCATGTGTTACTGGATTCAGTGGCATGAGTGAATCATCTATTGGTACAAAATTGACATAAGAATTTTGCAAATCTCAATGTATATTTAAGTTAAAATCAAAGCGATAATATCAGCAATCCGAATGTCACAGAGAAAAGTCAAGTTGAGCAATTATGTATTTTATCATAGTGAATATTTACATTTCGTTTTCTTTGTGTGAATTGTATTTCTAAAGTTAGAACAAGAAATGTTTATTTTTTTATTTCAATCAATTTTTTGTTTTATTTAAATAAATGAATTTTCTACTTTTTATCGATTGACATATATTCCTTAATATTAGACATATGAATAAATATTTATATAATTATTATCCTTCGAGTAGACTTATATATTAGAAGTAAGATTAATGTCATTATGATTATTAATTGTTGATTTTATTGATAGAAAAAAAAATGTCTGATATTACAATGAAATAAAAATCTAAAGTATGTATATCATCTGATTTTCTACAGCAAAATCAAACATATGAGAAAGATTTTTAATATAAATTCTGAAGATATATTTCATAAAATATATTCTTAAATTTTACATAATTTTTAATCTTGATTCAATGGTATTTACACAAAAGCAACAATTAGAATATAGACATTTTTTCATCGTGTATATAAAGAGATATATAGTTTGAATCAATTAAATTTCAAACAATTCTTTTTCTTTTTTCATCATCATTATCAAATTGAAAACAATATAATTTGTTAAGATTTTCAATTGTTTAATATTAAAAAATTTGAAAATAAATTCGAAAAATGGAAATTATCGATTCTATATCAGACATATATTCTTACATTTTCTCGATGTAAATTAAAGTGGAAAAAAATAGCTCAGATAGAGTTTTATCAATTGAAAAACATACTTGATTGTTTTCAACTATGATTATCTTTACAATAACAAAAGTTTAGTGATAGAGAGAGAAAGAATGGCCAATAAAATTGATTAGACAATTTCATACGATAATCATTAAGGTTCAAAAGTCTTTAATTACATAATGTCCTATGTTAAAATATTTTAGTAATATAAAGATATTGAAAAATCTTATTAATAAAAATAAATTTATTGTTTTATGCAAACGATTTTTTCTAAACAACAATGACGTTCGCAGAATTATTTTTAATCAATACTAAAAACATGCTTTCTCTTATAAATAGCTCCAGCTAATCAGTTTCATATCGTTAACAATTTTTTTTCATTAATTTATGAAAATGTAACGAAACAACTGCAATGATATTATTTTTTATGAAATAATCAAAATCATATTAGATTATTTTTGATGAACACTTGTTCAAGTAATCATTCAAATAATTTTATTTCCTCAATAATAACATTTTTGATTAAAGAGAGAAATGATATCAATTTGACACGCTTCCCTTACAATATCAAGATCAATCGACAGTGGACTGCCATGTGAATATGTGACAGAACTTTGACAAAATGTAATTTATTTATCATAACTATGATTTTTTTTCATTCTGCTTATATTCAACTATGATATTTTATTGTAATTACGTGTGTATGAGAGTGCGATCGTAATAATCCTTATTCAATATTCGTGTTGTTGAACACGAACATGTATAGATGTTCGTGGTGAACAAGTGTCGCATTTTCATCGCAATAGAACACGTGAAAACGGTTGAGTGATTTTGTTTTAAAAAATGTTTAACTTTGTTCTGCACTATTTTATTTCTTTGAGAAAAATCAATTAAATTTTATTGTAGAATATTTTGTTCAATATTATGTTAAATGTGAAAGAGAAAGTTTTAGAAAAAGCTTTTTAACAATATTTTCTTTATATTTTGGTGAAAAAATTGAAATAATTTGGTTATGTTCTTTATGATCAGATGACAATTGTTCAAATAATGAATAAAATATATATTAGAAATATCTCCGGTGATTTATGTAAGTTTTTAATCAATTGTTTTTTTCTTCAATTTGAAAATTTTCATTGAATACATTTTTACAACAATATTCTTTTTTTTAATTTGAAAATTTATGAGAAAAAAACTAAGTTAAATGAATACATTTTCTTATATTAATTAGATTAGTTTTAATCCATTTTCTCTCTTATTTTAAATAAAACTGTTAATTAATTCATTGTATATAACATATTTTAATCAAAATATTATCTTATCGAAGCATTCAAAATAGAAATTTAACAAATCAGAACTGTATATAAAAACACTTTCTTTTACTTTTTTCTTAGATAGCAGATTACATATAATGTGTCATCTGCTCTATATTCGATATTTTTTGAGTATTCTATTCCATAATATGATATTTCTTGTTAAAATATTAAAGACGAAAGAATTTATCAAAGTCACATTAGAAAGTTTGTAATTTTCTTTGTCACTACATAGTTCATTTCCCTTGATTCTTGTTTCTTTTTTGTTTTATAGCAACCAGTGCAGCGTCCGCAAATTTTATACGCAGATCCTTCCAGGGTTTCTAATAGAAATCTAAAACAAAATGTATATGTACATTCTATTTTTCTTAGCCAAGTGTATGTGTACATCTTGTTGTCGTATGCCAAGTGTATCAAAGTGTATACACTTGACGTTAAATACAAAATAAAGAAGTGAAAAATAGAAGAATATTTATGCCTTTCTTTCGTAGAACAATTAAATAATGGTAGATGAACAAATACACAATAAATATAAATACAATTATCTTTCCAAGATACGAATGATAATTTGTATCAAAAAAGGTTACAATGTTTCATTGTTTAGACATAACTTTTGAAATTCATATTATTCTTAAAGATTCTCAGAATTAGAAGTAAAGTGTTATTTCATTAAACAAAGTGTATTTCGTACACTTTACTTTTTGGCATAAGTGTACCGCAGCGTGTATTTCAAAAGGAGCAAGTGTTCCGTACATTTCGATTATGCTTGGTACACTTGCTATTAGAAACACTGATAGTAAGTATGAGATTAAACAATGAAAACTGAAAGGTATTTAATAAGATTCAACATATAACATGCATTTTTAATGTCTTGTGATTTATAATTTTTTTAAACACATCTAGCATAGAAACTACGGGTTTCATATAGAAAATGATGACTATGAAGTTAAACATCAATATATAAGCTCTAAAAAAATATTAATCTCTTTTTATTATTGTAAGGATATATTTCAACTGAATTTGTTTTATTTTAGTAGAAATATCATAGATGGAAATAATTTATATTTATATAATGTAGAATATATTCGATATTTTACTGAAGCTAAAGCAATCGTTTAAACATCATCATGTGCTTATATAGATGTGACATATTAGAGAAAAATTTATTTAAGTTAAATCTAGCAAATTCACTAGAACGTTTATAATTATCGACAAATAAATGTAAAATATCTACGAGAATTATACAAACATCATTCATTCCGTCATCTTATTCAACATCGGGGAAGTGAAAAAAATTAAATAATTTTTTATTTACATTCTTTTTCCTACTTGTCACACCGAATTATTATCTTTTAGAGTTATCAATTATTATTTTTAATGTGCATATAGGTAAGCATGTTTTTCCTTGATAACTCGCATAACAACATTTTGTATTTCACAGTGATTGATAATTATTTTTAATGAGCATATACGTAAACATGTATGTCCTTCATATATATGTCTTAATAATATTTTCTATTTTCTAGTTATTGAATATTATTTTTAATGAGCATACACATAAACATATATGTCCTTAACATTGACCATCACAAAATTTCGTATTTTAAAGTGATTAGCAACTAGTTTAAATCCGCATAGGGGTGAGTATCTATCTCCTTTATTTATACCAAAACACATAATTCACCAATTTTTAGCAATACACGACCAACTTACGGCACTTAAACACTACTGAAAGCAGACGAAACATCGAAACTATATTGATTTTGATGGAAGCCAATACTTTGCATGCTAAAAGTAAATTCTTCTTTGTTAATATTTTCGTGCATTAAGAGTGTGAGTGAGGGTGTGGTGTCTTATTGAATATAATAAAGAAAACCTAAAATATAATTTCCATTTTATTCAGTTTGTTCAATATATATATATTTATTAGTTTATTGTAATTCAATTAATAAATATTTTATTTAGTGTTATATTGATTTATTATGTCGTTTATGCTATACAATTCAAACAGTTGATGGACATTGTTGTACAGTGGCTGAAGGCGTACTTGATCCATCAAAAGTTGAATTATTTTCATCAATTATTTATTATGAATTAGTTTCATTTAAAACAAGTCATTTAATAAGATTTGATGATGAAATTAAATCATTTATTAAACAATAATTAATACAAACATATATGGGTGTAGAAATTCGCGTTAGTTTTATAAAATTTTCTTTAATAAAACTGAAAATATTCTTATCTTTTGTTAGAATGAAAAAATTATTTTATTAATAATTGAAGAAGAAGAGTTTCAATATCTTGAATTAATAATTAATATAACAAATTAAATTAATATAAAAGATATATCAAGTTTATTTTCCTTACAAGAAGAAACAATAGTTATATATTCTGATCGTACACAAGTACAACAAGAAAGTTTAACATATACAAAAGCTGTTTCTTGAGAAGTTTTTCTTCTCATTATCATATTAATTCTTTACCCAACCGCTAGACAACCATTTCAGAATTGTAAGGTATGTTTCGTCTGCTTGAATTTTATACTGTTTTTTTTTCTGTATTTCTTATACCTTTATAATTAATTAAAATCTAACAAAATAATTTTTATATTTATGGAAATGTTAAAGAAAATATTCGCGTCATCATTTTAGTAAATGAAATAAATAATAAACTATGTCTTGATTATCCATCAATATCTAATAATATAACATTAATTTATTGGCAACATTGGAGTACTGAAATACTTGTACAAAATAGTCTTTATCATTAAAAAGGTTTAATAACGATTTTTCTTTTAATTGTATATAAGAAATATTCTTCTTTTAATTTAAAAAAACAGATGTTCAATGGTTGGATTAAAATACAAGCCAAAATACAGCTCATCGTCTTGCATCAATGCATCTTTCAATTCGACGAGCAAATCAAAATCATATACAAAAATTACCACATATTAACAATCATACACTTATGAAATTTGTTAAAAAGTAATTGAAAATGAAGCACATTTATTCGAATTCGAAAAAAGAAATTTTTTCCATTTAGATTTGTAGAATTAATCAAAGTAAAATCATCAAAGTTACTAAAGCAAAAAACCAGTTGAAGATACATTAGCTGCTACTATATTGATTTGTAAGTTTAGAATATTTTTTACTTTTCTATTTTTCTAAAATTTTATATTAAAATAGTAAAATCTCCAACAGCTGATATAACATGGCAAAAAGATGCGAAAAGACAATTAGCTACTTTTGATAGTTTTATTGAATAAACTCAATTATTTGATAAAGTTAATTTATCAGAAGAACATATTGATTTAATCAGTGCAACTATTGATAAAGTTCAACTTAAAGATGCATCATTTAATCAAACATCTTATTTATGCTAAAAGTAAAAATTCAATCGATTATTTTTTTTTGTTTAGAAATAAATTTGACTTTGAATTCTCAAGGTGATGGTCTGGGCCTTTTATGATTAAAACGATTAAGTGATGCTGAACGTGATGGAGATCGTATATATTGTGTTATTCGTGATGTACTTAGTGGTTATGATGGAAATGAAGATAAAACGAATTTTGTCGTTCTATCAGCTGCTGGACAAGGACGTTTCTTAGCAAATATTTATTCAAGCAATAATTTTGATACTCGAAAAATATTATTTGTTGAAGCACATGGTACAGGTACACCAGTTGGTGATCCAATTGAAGCTAATTGTTTAGTTCGATTTTTTATTCGATCAAGTCTTGATCCACCATTATTATTAGGTTCAATTAAAAGTAATTTAGGATATACAGAAGGTGCAGCTGGTGTAGCATCACTTATTAAAGTTGCTATGTGTATGTATCATCGTGGTATTACAGCAAATATGCAATTTACTTCACTTAATCCTAAAATAGAAGCACAAAAATATAATCTACATATTCTTCAAAATTTTATGCTATTTCCATCTCTTCCAAATAATGGAAAAATAGCTATAGGTGTTAATTCATTTGGAATGGGTGGTACAACGACACATGCTATTATTGAAGAATATCAACCAAATAAAGCATCAATTGACAATGGTCATATCGATGAAAATCATATTCAGAGCAAACAATATTTTATTTTTAGTTTTTCTTTTCATTCATTAAATAATTTATTTCTTCTTGACCATCAATTAATGATACAGATGATGATGATCAAGCATTTCTTCAATGTATATCCCAACAACTTCTTCTAAAAAGAACTATTAGTTATACACATTCAACAATCTTTGTTTTTCTTAATCGTCAATAATTACAAGCACAAATCAATGCTTTTCTTACTAAACAAGCATTACCAGGCCTTTCAATTGTATCACGTCCAACAAAAGCATTAGCAAACAAAATATATTTTATTTTTAGTGGAAAAGATTCACAATGGTGGGCTATGGGTAGACTATTATATGAAAGTGAACCTTTATTTAGTAAATGGATTAGTTTAATTGATGGAGAAATGACAAAAATTAATAATGGTGAATGAAGATTATTAAAAGAATTAATTGAAAAGAAAAATGAACGAGAATCTCGTATTAATGATACAAATATTGCTCAACCAACATTATTTGCTATACAAGTTGCATTAGCAGCTTTACTTGTTTCATGGAATATTTATCCATCATCTATAATATCACATAGTGGTGGTGATCAAGCAGCTGCTTTTGTTGCTGGTTGTTTAAATTTAGAAGAAGCTGTTCGTATCTTAGCTGTTTGAATGAGTGAAGAAGAAGTCGAAAATAAACTTCTTAAAGGTATTGAACATTTAGCTTGTATTACTGTTGTTAATAGTCCTCGTTCAGTAACAATAAGTGGTGATGAAAAAACTATTGATGAAATACAACAAATACTTTCCATATCTTATCCAAATGTATTTAAAGCACGTCTCCGTATTGAAAATGCATTTCATTCATATCAAATGAATCGATTTAATATTGAACAAGAAATGCTTTCATCATTGAAAGATATTCGAGGATTTCCAATACAAGATCAAAAACAAATTTTTGATGCAATATGTGCACAAGCAAAACTTTATTCAAGTGTTATTGGTGATAAAATCAATGATAATATACCGGTTGATGGTCAATATTGATGGTCAAATGTAAGACAAGCTGCTCGATTTTATGATGCTATACAAGCAATTATAAAAGATAATGTAGCCAATGTTTTTCTTGGAATTTCATCACATGTATGGCAACAATATTTTTATACTCGTCAAATTTTACCTATGAAAAATCATGAAGAATATGTTGATGATTTTCCATTATATAAATTTCATCTTAGCCCGAGTTGGTATAAATCAAAAGATTCATCTATACAACGTTTAGCTAATCGTATACCTACTTATCCATTACTTGACATTCGTCAATTAAATGAACAAACAACTGCAACATGAAAGAGTCTTATTAATATTAATTTACCACAACATACTTTTTTAAAATATCATAAAATTCAAGATGCAATTCTTTTTCCAGCTGTTGCTTATGTTGAACTTGCAACAGCTGCTTGTCATCAATTACTTTTATCAAAAGAAGGTGATCAACAACAACCAACAATTATTTTTGTAGATGTTAAATTTGTTAAAGTACTTATTCTGAATGAACATGAATTAGTAGAAGTATTTACACAAATAATTATGCCAATGCGTAAATGGTATATTATATTTTGTAATCAAGATAATCTTAATAAATATTCATTAAATCAATTTACTTTACATGCTCAAGGTAAAATTGAAATAGATTTTAAAGAACAAAAATCATTAACAATACCTGATAGATGAACCATACAAGATATACGAAGTGCTTATGCACATCTTTCAACACTTGCTTATCAATATGGAACTAGTTTTGAAAAAATCAAAACATTATGTGATACTTCAACTACAGTTATATCTCAATTATCAAATGATGATAATAATTGTTCATCTTATTATTTACTTCATCCATATCTAGTTCTAGTACCAGGTGTTGAAACAACATTTCTTCCAGTACATATTCAAAAATTTATTTATTCAAATAAAACAAAAACAAAAACGAATCAATCAACAAATGTTGAAGTACGTGGAATCTATCATGATAATAGATGTGGTATAGGTCAAGAAGGAACATATAGTCTTGATTTATAGATGTTTTCAATGAATAATAAAATAGAAGAAGCAATATTTACATTAGACGGTATTGTTATTCAACAAGTTCAAGGTGCACATTCTGGTCGATGGTCAATCGAAAAAACAATTTATGATAAATTAAATCTAACAACTGATTTATCTAGTACTGATCATAAAACATATCTAGATACAATTATAAAAGATTATTGTATGAAAAGAGTATGGAATGATTCACCAATAATAAAAGATATATCACATTTACTTCCACCACCTAATCAAATTCTTAATAATCAACTTAATTCTAATATTAATCAAGATTTAATTGAATCAAAAGAACCATTTAATGAATTAGCTGCTTATTATGCTCAAATGGCAATAACAGATCTTGATTTAAATCAACAACATCATCCATTATTAAGTGCATGTCGTTCTCTTGCTTCAACTTTACATGAATAAGTAACATGGCATTCAACACATCTTCGTCTTATTCAATTAATTCAACGTTTTCCTCGTTTAAAACCATTTTTAATCATATTAAATAAATATGGTTCACATTTAAAAGATATTCTTAATGGAGAAAAAAATGGATTAGATATATTTCTTGGTGATGATGAAATTAAACAAACTTTTCAACAAATTAAAACTCTTATATATGCAACTAAAATACAACAAGTTTTTCATACTATTTGTCAATATTTACAATTACAATATGAAAAACAAATTAAAGACAATTCATTTGAAAATTATCGATTATGTATATTTTGGTTAACTGATAGTGATTGTTCAGATGTTTTACCTATTCTTGATCTTCTTCTTAATTTATCACAATAAACAGGTTAATTAATTGATTTATATTATGCAGATTCTGATCCAATACAACTTGCAAATGCTCAACAAACATTTAATACACATATAAATAATCGAACCAATTTATCTACTATTTATGATGAAACAATTGATTTATATGATAGTAAAACACTTGAAAAAATACCATTCGAATCATTTGATATTATATTTTCTGCAAATCAACTTCAAGGAAATCAAGATTTAATAAATTCTTTAGTTGATCTTCGTCGTTTACTTGTTCCTAATGGTCTTCTTTTATTACTTGAACTAGTTTATATTCCACTTTATTTTGATCTTATTTTTTGTTTCTTTGATCAATGGTGGTCATCATCTGATGATAATAATCGTGCATTAAAGAATATTCAACAATGGGTGATATTATTAAAACAAATCGAAGGATTTCATATTATTGAATCAACATTAAATCAAAATGAAAGCACATTAATTATTAGTCAAAAAACAACATCGAATGAAATATTACAAAGACTTGATGAAAGAAAAAATCAGTTATGGTTAATATTTATTAAAGATGATAATAATAATATTCTATAGTCATTGTTACCATGTTCAAATATTAAAATATTTCATATTCGTCATTCAACTTTAGATACTATTTGTTTTGGAATATCAGTTTTATTAACTACTTATAAACAAGTATCTATTATTTTTGCATGGCAACTTGATCAAGTATTATTGAATGAAAATAATGATGACGATTTAGCATTGAAACAAAATGAAGAACTTATATGTGGAACATTATCATGTATTCTTCAAACAATTCAAAAATCATCACCATATTTTCATCCATTTGTATATGTTCTGACAGATCATGCTCAATTTAATAATGATTCGAATCTTAATATAATTGCATTACCATTTATTGGGCTTGCACGAAGTTTAATAACTGAATATGAACGAAATCGATTAAAACTTATTGATCTTCGAACATCATTAAATAATGAATTAATATTTATTCATACTTTAATAGAATACATGATTAATTCAAGATATTCAACTGATACTTGCCAAGTTGTTCTTCGTCTTAATCATACAAATCAAAATGAAGTTCAACATTTAACATGGCATTACGAAATGTTACAAAATAATGATGAACAAAAGAAATCTAAATACGAACAAATATCTATTATTTCTAAACGAAATGCAGATCAAAAACCATTTCGTCTTTGTGTACCACGATCTTGTTTTCTTTCTGAATTAACATGCATCGAAGAAGATAGTGAAGAAGAACTATTACCATCAGATATGGTAGACTGATTTCGCTGGATTTTGTTGATCATATATCATCTCTTATTCATATTATACTTGAAGAAACATTTGATCTATTTGTTCAACATAAATTATATGCTGTTGAACCAACAGTTACTTATGAACCATCTAAAGTAATACAAGCATGGTTAAGATGTAATAGTGGTCAAGTTATGGGTACAACAGCTATTCGTATAACTTCATCTGATCAACCACCGAATATCAACAAAAACCAATCGAATAATTTATTAAAAGGTAATCATATTTTATATTTTCTTTTCTTTTTTTTTCTTTTCTTTTCTTTTTTTTCTTTTCGTTCTGTTTCGACTATTGATAATCATTGTAATGTACGAGAACGTATTTCGATCGCATCGTAATATTCATTTATAGGTCTACTCGAAAGAAAAAAGAAAAAAAAAGATGTTCGTTGATGTTTTTCACCTTTTTTCATAGTTTTGTCTTAATAATAACTTTAATTATAGATCGAAAGCTCTACTATGTTACTTTGAAACATAACAAAATCTTGAAAATGGGTGCGAATGTATGTCTCTTCTTCTTCTTTTACATTCATACCCACACTCACTCTCGATCCTAATAGCACTGACTGATACTTCTTTGTGTTATAGTCACATGTGATCAGCTAGTGTAAGAAAGAGATAATCTAGAAGAATATAGATATAAGCTAGAAATAAAAACACTTCGCTAACCGTACTACTAGATCTGAACTTAAATTGCAAACCCGCTTGGATTTGAGTTTAAGTTTGGTGCATGTCTATCCAGAGCTACATCTTCACCTACTCTTTTATGTGAACACACTGTGTAGTAATAGAATATATTTATCATCTATGTGTATTTGTTTCTCTCTTATTCATTTTTGCCTTCTCTTTTAATAATTTCGATAGGAATAAAAGAAA